GACTGTGGGGAATGGCGTGCAACGAGCATCCTGTGAATAGAGGCCAGGAACGCTGGTAAACACCCTACAGCGCACAGGACAGCTCCCCATGGCAAAGAAGTGCCTACTCCAAAGTGCCAATGGTGCCAATTGCTCTGTCGGCCAGGCTAGAGTTCAGTGGCACAATCTCGGCTCACTGCAACATCCACCAGTGGGTTCAAGCAGTACTCCTTCCTTGGCCTCCTGAGTAGCTAGGATTACAGGTGTCCACTACCACGCCCAGCTAGTTTTTGTAATTTTAGTAGAGACGGGGTTTTACCATCTTGGTCAAGCTGGTCTTGAACTTCTGACCTCGTGATCTACCTGCCTTTGCCTCCCAAAGTGTTGGGATCACAAGCATGAGACACGGCACCTGGCACCTCTTTTCTACCTCAGGTACTTCTTGATGGCCATGGAAGAACAGATTGAGAAAACAGGGGAGACCACTCAGAAGAGGTGACATCTGGGTCAAGTCCCAAGGGATCAATATTCATGAGTCATGGAGAGTTCTAGGCTGGAGGAGCAGCATGTGCCACGTTCCAGATGAGAAAGAGCTGGAAGCGGACTGTGGCTGGAGGCAGGGTGGGAGCAGGAGACGTAGAGAGAAAGAGATAAGAGATGAGCTTGGGAGTTGGTCCGGAAGGGGTTAATCCTGGAGGACCTGCAAAGTGGAACAAAGAAGTTGGGAGTTTGTTCTGGAGAATCCAGAACCAGGAGGGGGTCCTTGTAGGGCTTCAAGGCTGCAGCGCTGAACGTGAACCAAAAGGTGCTACTACAGTGGCCCAGGCAGGGAATGCTGGCTGCCCAAACAGGGGCAGTGTTAGGGGGTGACAGAGAGATGGGTGGACACAAAAGAGAGTTGCCAGGCAGCATCAATGGAACGTAGGGGCAGGACCCTTGGGGATATCTGCAACAGGGGGCAGGCATGGCAGCAATCCGTTTTCTAAAAGGTCAGTGAGAATGAACACTTAATAAAATGATATAATAAGAAAAAACTATCTTTGGTAAAATGTTGCCTCCCATTCCAGACCCCAGTCTGTGGATGGCCTCACTCCTCCTTGGTGCGAGGGGACAGGGAAGACAATGTGAGGATGCATCCTCTACTGTCATCCTCCCCGCTAGGGGCCGTGGCCTTCCACAGGCCAGCCCACAGTCTGTGTCTCATTCTCAGCTGTGGCCCTGGGAATGTCCTGCTGACTCATTCTGGCCCCATAGGCTTGGAAAGGTGTCTGCTCTGTCCTACTCCTTTAAAGTCACCTGGCTGTCCTGGTAGTCATGGGGATGGAGTCAAACAGCAGTTCTCAACCTTGTCCTGCCACACCACAAGTAAATGATATTCCACAGGCAGCCACCTGCCTCCAGCAGGAATGAGAATGCTGTGTGGACAATTCAGCTGCAGGTTACCTGCAATTCCTGGTGCACCTGCTACACACCAAGGCATGCTGGGACGGACCACCCTGGCGTGAGCAGGATGCTGGGATCGGCCACTCCAGCATGAGAAGCTGCGTGGAGGAATGCCTGCACAGCAGTCTAAAAATTCCCCGAGACTGTCACTGTCCTTCCCTCTGCTTTGCCTCTCCTCATTCTGTGGCTATTACGCTTTCATCCAGGTGGCTCAATTTTTTGATTTCCACCTATTGTCAAGGCCAGGATTACCCTATAGGGGTAGAGAGTAGGTTGGCCAGGTGCAAGAGAAATCCAAATTGTTCTGCATGTGTGAGGCTGACCTTGGCTGGATCTGGGAGATAACCTTGCCCCAGCTGCAGGGACCACCTCCCAGTCCTCCTTATGGAGGCGTGATGAGGCTGCGTGTATTTGATGCCCACCTGTGACTATAAAACCTGTGGGCAATGTAGCAGGATAGTGGCAGGGCATTACTATGAAATTGTATCTGTAAACTGAAAGTTAGACCAAGGTTTCATTGCTTCGTTTTTTTCAACCACATAAAGTAATTGTGCTGGGTTTTAGAAGGTGGAGCTGGGGACCTAACGGGTTAGTCAAGTCGTACATCTGAACTTCCTAAAACCTGACATCTCTCGCCCTGCCCTGGCAGAGTGCCATCAGGAGAAACTAGGAGGCTCGAGAAGCCACTTCACCTAACATCCTCATCGTGATCTCTCTAAGAACGCTTGCTGACGATGCAGCCTCTGTGCTTCCCACACTCAACAGTAGCTGCGTTAGAGGCAAAGGTAAAAAGGCCCGTTTTCACCAGCCTCCAACCAAGGCATCTGCAGGGACACTTCAGCATGCCACCACACCAGACGGCGCTGCTGCCCCTTGGCTCTCTGTGGGCATGCAGCCCCAGAGATGCAAGACCTTCTGCAATTTCAGGAGCAGACAAAAGTCTGGATCTTCATGCCAATACTTCTGATTTTTTTTTTTTTTTTTTGAGACAGAGTTTTGCTCTTGTTGCCCAGGTTGGAGTACAATGGCAGGATCTTGGCTTACCACAACCTCCGCCTTCTAGGTTCAAGCAATTCTCCTGCCTCAGCTTCCCAAGGAGCTGGGATTACAGGCATGTGCCACCATGCCCAGCTAATTTTGTGTTTTTAGTAGAGAGGGGGTTTCTCCATCTTGGTCAGGTTGGTCTTGAACTCCCCACCTCAGGTGATCTGCCTGCCTCGGCCTCCTAAAGTGCTGGGATTACAGGCATGAGCCACTGTGCCCAGCTAATATTTCTGAATTTTTAAGGTGATAATTAAAACTTCAAAAATGTTTTTTTTTTTTTTTTTTTTTTGAGACGGAGTTTTGCTCTTGTTACCCAGGCTGGAGGGCAATGGCGCGATCTCGGCTCACCGCAACCTCCGCCTCCTGGGTTCAGGCAATTCTCCTGCCCCAGCCTCCTGAGTCACTGGGATTACAGGCACACGCCACCATGCCCAGCTAATTTTTTGTATTTTTAGTAGAGACGGGGTTTCGCCATGTTGACCAGGATGGTCTCGATCTCTTGACCTCGTGATCCACCCGCCTCGGCCTCCCAAAGTGCTGGGATTACAGGCTTGACAAATTAAAAAACAATATGGCTAATTCCTGCAATCCCAGCACTCTGGGAGGCCGAGGTAGGTGGATGACCTGAGGTCAGGAGTTTGAGACCAGCCTGGCCACCATGGCGAAACTTGTTTCTACTAAAAATACAAAAATTAGCTCGGCATGGTGGCAGGCACCTGCAGTCCCAGCTATTCAGGAGGCTGAGGCGTGATAATTGCTTGAACCCCAGATGCGGAGGTTACAGTGAGCCCAGGTCATGCCACTACACTCCAGCCTCCAGTCTGGGTGACAGAGTGAGACTCCAACTCAAAAAAAAAAAAAAAAAAAAAAAAGAGAGAAAAGAGAAGCAATAACAAAGGCTACAACAAAAACTCAACATCATGTGATTAAACTCCATCAGAGCCAAGCCACATAGGTCTGCAGGTTATGGCCACGGCCCACCAGCTCTGGGCTCCTCAGTTCTAAGATTCTGCTCTCCAGCTGGTCATCAGTGTTGTGACTTGTGCCTTGGGTGATAGTCACATCTGCTTTTGGAACATTACTTCCCCTATCTGCAAGAGGCAAGTCACCCCTACCTTCTCCCCAGATAAACATGTCCTCGGGACTTTCCCCAGTGAACCGGCTCAGGCCCTGGCCCCCAGTACCTTGGAGACGGAGGCTGGGAGGTAAAAAAGACGCTGCACTCCTCTTTTCTTTGCTGCTTTCCTCTCCTGGGTTTTTCTCTGCAGGCCACACTGCTTTTAGAAGTCTATCCCTTCATCTACCACCCCTCGAACATCACTGATGGCAGGCCAGCACTCTCTCAGCTCTCTGGGATGACATTTGTCTCATCTGCCAGCCTAGTGATCTTGCCAAGAGAGGAAGGAACTGGGTCTGTTGTGACCTGAACTTCGTCACCCATACCGTCACAGCTGGTGACCTAAGCTTCCTCCAAGTCGAGAGGTGGTGCAGCTCCATTGAAGCCTCCTCTTCTCTCTGCCTCGCGGAGAGCACATGGCCCTGACTACAGTGGCCAAAGGAAGACCTGGGGTGGAGAGCTCTGCTTTCTCACCATCCTCTCCGCCTGGCTTCTCTAACATGTTAAAAACTCATGGTGGCTCTCACCTGTAATTCCAGCACTTTGGGATGCCAAGGCAGGTGGATCACGAGGTCAGGAGTTCGAGACCAGCCTGAACAACATGGTGAGACCCCGTCTCTACTAAAAATACAAACATTAGCCAGGTGTGATGGCACGTGCCTGTAATTCCAGCTACTCAGGAGGCTGAGGCAGGAGAATCACTTGAGCTGGGGAGGCAGAGGTTGCAGTGAGCCGAGATTACGCCACTGCACTCAAGCCTGGGCAACAAAACTCACTTTTTTGCTGATATCTATGGCGCTTTTTTTTTTTTTTTGCTGGAATCTATAGCTTTTGCGAGACTCCATTTATTTCAGCTTTTAGCCTTCCTGATATCATTCTTACAAACATTGCCTGGGGACACTCTTTCCATTCATTTATTCAGCCAATACTTACTGAGCACCTATTTGGCAAGTACTGGGCAGCAATTGAGAATAAAACAGTGAAAAGTTAGGAAAGGTCTCTGATCTGACGGAGGGCCTATTCTGCTGGTGCTCTGAAGACAGTAAAACAAGACAATGTGACAGAGGATGCGGAGAATCCAGTAGGCAACCACTTATACGGGAAAACCAGGGAAGGTCCCTACGAAGGAGACATATCTACTGAAACCTTAATAAACAGAAGCAGCCAACCATGCAAGGATCTAGAGGGAGAGCAGTTCTGGCAGAGGGGTCAGCAAAGAGAAAGGCCCTGAGGCAGGAAGGAGCTTAGCATGGGAGGGGAACCTGGAAGGTTGGCTGGCCGGACTCCAGTGAACATGGGGCTGAGCTGAGGTCAGAGGAGGGCAGAGGCCAGATCCCCCTGGCCTCCTAGGTCAGGGTGGGGCTGGCTCGTAGGAGTGCTAAGGCTGACTCTGATTCAGCTTGAGGTCGGTGTCCCTCTCAATCCGTCTCACTTGCGGTCCTCTATAGCCCGCAGGCTTGCTGAAAGTGCCCCACTTCCTTCCTCATAGTAGCCTCTGCGCAATCCGAATTGCATAGTGAATTTCCCTGTCACTCAGGAGCCTGGGCAGGGCTTGACCCCTAGTTCAGTTACCAGCAACCAGTCTTCCTCCACCTTCCTGCCCTAACCCCCACTGGGTCTCAGTCTCTGCATCTGTGAAGTGGCTGAGCACGTCCAAATGACGCAGGCCGCCTTTCCACTTCTTTCTACCCACGGCGCCTTGGAGTTTGATTGGTAGAGGATGAAGCCACAGCGGGATCCTGGCGAGAAGTGAAACTGAAAGAAAAAATTCCTCCTGGCTCTAGGGAGGCCGGCAGAGGGGGTTTGGAGTAACAGGCAGAGGTAGAGGAGGAGGGAGGTTTTTAGAAAGCTGACCCGGCAGGAGCTCTGGGACCCAGGCTTTCACTTCTCCTAAACACCCAACTGCGCCATGTGATGCAGGCCGGCGACTGCGGATAGGGCCAGTGAAAGGGGAAGCCGGGGCAGCCCAGAGTTTCTCAAGAAGCAGAGAGACAGAGGCTGAGCCTGGAGGGAGGGCTGGAGGGGCCTGGGAGGGGAGTGGAGGCAGTGGGGGTTAGGGGGACAGGGAGAGGTAGAGAAGACGGCAGGGGCAGCAGGGTCACTGGGGCAGAGGGAGCCCCTACCCCACCCCCAGGGCAGGCCAGCTGTCCTAAGGAGAGGGGACAACAGGAAGGGGCGACAGACGGGGAGGCCGGGGGAAAGAGGAGGCGGAGGGGCTTCGAGGTGGAGCAGGGAGGGTGGCAGTGTGAAGCAGAGGAGGGGGAGCACAGAGAGGAAGGGTTGGGGTGGGGGGGGGGGTTGAGGATTAGGGAGAAGGTGGTAGAGTCCGGGTAGTGAGCAGAGAAGGACTAGAAGGGTAGGGCAAGAAAGGGAGAGGGGACACGAGCGGTGAGAGAGGAGGGCCAGCCCGTTGGGTGTGGGAGAGCAGAGGAGAGCCGCGGGGGGCCCGGCACGGAGCCAGGATGCCCGCGCCGCGCGCCCTGGGGGAGCGTCGGCCGCTGCTGCCTCGTGGCACGCGGGGCCCTCGACGGTGGCGGCGGGCGGCGGGCGCCGCGGTGCTCCTGGTGGAGATGCTGGAGCGCGCCGCCTTCTTCGGCGTCGCCGCCAACCTCGTGCTCTACCTCAACAGCACCAACTTCAACTGGACCGGCGAGCAGGCGTCGCGCGCCGCGCTGGTGTTCCTGGGCGCCTCCTACCTGCTGGCGCCCGTGGGCGGCTGGCTGGCCGACGTGTACCTGGGCCGCTACCGCGCGGTGGCGCTCAGCCTGCTGCTCTACCTGGTCGCCTCGGGCCTGCTGCCCGCCACCGCCTTCCCCGACGGCCGCAGCTCCTTCTGCGGAGAGATGCCCGCGTCGCCGCTGGGGCCCGCCTGCCCCTCGCCCGGCTGCCCGCGCGCCTCGCCCAGCCTCTACTGCGCGCCGGTCCTCTACGCGGGGCTGCTGCTCCTCGGCCTGGCCGCCAGCTCCGTCCGGAGCAACCTCACCTCCTTCGGGGCCGACCAGGTGAGTGGGTGGCGAGAGGCCTGCCCCGGCCGACTCCCGCGGGTGTCGGGGGAAGAAGGGCTGGCCCCCAGCGTGACCCGGCACACACCACTTCCCGTGCCTGCGCCTCGTTTCCTGAAGGAAGGGGGGTGCTAGCCCTTGCAGAACATGGCAACAGCAGTGGGAACAACCATGGCTGGTTTTTCTTAATTTTTTTTTTTTTTTTTTTTGAGACGGAGTTTCCCTCTGTCGCTCAGGCGGCAGTGAATGGCGCCATCTCAGCTCACTGCAACATCCGCCTTCCCGGGTTCAAGCGATTTCCCCCGCCTCTGCCTCCTGAGTAGCTGGGACTACAGGTGCCCGCCACCACGCTTGGCTAATTTTTGTATTTTTTTTTTCTTTCTTCCTCCTACCATAAATGAAGTGTACTTTCAGTATTTTTTTTTTTTAAAGATGGGTGTCACCATGTTGATCTCGAACTCCTGACCTCAGGTGATCCACCCGCCTCCGCCTCCCAAACTGCTGGGATTACAGGGGTGAGCCACTGTGCCAGGCTGGTTGGTCTTCTTTGAGCTACTTGTAGTCCCTATGCTAAGCACTTTCACTGCTTAACTCATTTAATCCTCTTCACTACCCAGGAGATAGGAATTATTATGCCCGTTTTACAGAGAAAGACGCTGAGAGGTTTCATGGCATTAATCAACTTGTTCAAGGTAACCTGGAGAGCAGGTGGAGGAGCCGAGTAAGGGCAGCTGGACTCCGGGTCCCACCATGAGCCCCGTCTCGGTGTGTTATGGGGATGTGAGCGCAGGGCAGGAGCCAGCCAGCCTCTTCCCACTAGCAGAGCTGGAGGTTGTCAGGCCGGCTTGCTGAGATCCCAGCTCTGCCCTTCACTAGCTGGAGGCACATGGGCAAACAGCTCGACTTCTGAGCCTCCCTCTGTTCCCCTTTGGACAGAGCATGGCATATAGAATAAATGTAATACATATCTGCTCAATAAATGAGTAAATGCCAACAACACGGCTCTATTTTGATAGCTGTGCCCAGTGAGATATTAGGCAATAATTAAGACTAAAATGTAATATTATTAAAATAACCACATATAGTTGGAATGAGCAAAAGGTCTGCATACAGATAGGAGAGCAGCCGCGTGGAAAGACGAGGTGTCCACGAAAGGAAATGAGAAGGACTGTCACAGTAGTATGGTCAGGACACTGGACTCACTGCGCTTTTTTCTTAATTGTCTCAGTTTTTTAAATGTTCTTTGATTGCATATGTTATACTCATAAAAGGGACTTTTTCGAGAGGATCATTTCGTCCCATTGGAACCCACAATTCAGCACCCAGCAGTTTTCAGTGTCCTTGACAAGGAGTCACTTGTCCAGCTTGTTTAGGGTCCTTTGATGAGGACTTTGTGCCCCAGAACAGCCCTGGTCTTTTTTTCTTTTTTTGTGTGTTGGAGTCTTGCTCTGTTGCCCAAGCTGGAGTGCAGTGCTGCCATCTCAGCTCACTGCAAACTGCACCTCCCAGTTCAAGCAATTCTCCCTGCCTCAGCCTCCCAAGTAGCTGGAATTACAAGCGCCTGCCACCACACCTGGCTAATTTTTGTATTTTTTTTAGTATAGAGACAGGGCTTCACCATTTGGCCAGGCTGGTCTTGAACTTCTGACCTCAGGTGATCCACCTGTCTCAGCCTCCCAAAATGCTGGGATTATAGGCATGAGCCACTGCGCCTGGCCAACCCTGGCTATTTCTTACTTGTTGACATTCCTTCAGACCTAGAGAACCCCAATATTTGTCAGTGGGAATCTCTCATCTTCCCTTAATCCTCTTCTTTCATTGATATGCCACTAACACCCCCAACCCAGTACCCTTAACCTGTCCTTGACTCTATTGACCTCCAGAGAGCCTCACCCATCCAGTGCCCCCTGTGGCAAAACTGGTCTTCTGGAGGCCAGGCCACTGAGCAGAGCCTCTCATGGCACCAACAGTGGCAGCAGCTGCTGTACATTCTCCCCTTGGCTGGGCACGAGCTTTGGGTAGAGCAAGGGCCGGCTGTGGGGCTGCCTTGTGAAGTCAGGATCTGACCCCAGGGCAGTGCGGAAGCACCGAAATGGTATGAGGCAGGAATGGACATCACTGGATATGAGCTCTTCAAAAATGACTCTGGCTGCAGTGTAGACAGCGTATGGGTTAACAAGAGTGGATGTTTCACAACAGGGAGGAAGCTGCTGCAGGATTCAGGGGGGCAGTCAGATGGGGGATGTGGGGGTGGGTGGGACTGGTACCATCTGGCAACAGCTATACCCCAGGAGCTGCATGTTTCACACACTTGCTTATTTCAGAAAGGACCATCATCCATCACTCTCGACAAAGTGTCTGCTCATTCTAAAAGAACTCATTTATATCCTGAATGGGCTGCCTGGTCTTCCCCCTTAGTTACAATAGACATATTCATTTACTTACAATTAATAAGTACAAGTGGCTGCTTCTAATGGGTCCTATTCAATTTTTCTGCTTGAAAGTCTACAGCAAGAATTATCAGTGAGCCGGCATGCCCTTCCCTCCCCATTGCCAGAAGGACCCTTCAGAATCTCCAATGGAATGCAGTTTTAAGTGCATCTGTATGGACTATGATTTTACATTTGAAAAAGGAAGAAAAAAAAAACTTATCTTTTCCCCAATGCAACTACAGAAAGTAAAGTTTGACAAAATCTCCTTAGCTAGTGGAGCTAGAAATCTCTAGGTGGAAGGCAGTAATGAATCCTGAGGTTTGCAGCGGCATCAAAAGGTGGCTGGTTTAGCAATCTAGAGAAGCATTTATTCTCTCCATTAAAATGGCCACCAGTCCTCACTGCTTTTTAAAATGCAGATGCCCAGGTCCTGCCCCAGACCTGCTGAGTCAGGATCTGGCACCTGGGTCTGAGAGATTTGGGGGCAGCCAGTGCCCCTGACCGGAGCTAACGGACCAGAAGGGGCCTGGGGCCTGGCTGTTGCTGATTGATCTAAATCCTGGGTAAAGATTTTCAGCCCATCTGCCCTTGCTGGGAGGCCTGAAAAAAAATGTTTTTTCATCAGCGTGGAACTCGCTCTTGGGGCTGTGCCTTGGACCACCTCTGCCATATATCAGAGGGATGAAAGTTGGGTGAAAGGATGGGTCACAGTAGGCTTCTCTGCTTGCCTTTCCAAACTGCAGAGGAAATCCTCACTCACACTTCTGTTCTTTCGATAATGTGCATACATTATTTTTAATAATGTGCAACAAAACGGATATCTTCGCTGGCTTTTTTTTCTGATTATAAAAGTAATGAATGGTGTAGGTTGCTCAGTCAAAGACAAAGGGATAAATCAACCAGAAATGAACAAGTGGCATCTGAGACATCTGTTGTATGGGCTTCTCTGCGACAATAAAAAAGCAAGGTGTGTCATGGGTATGCAAAAGCAGCTAGGCCAAATGTCCTGATCTTTAGCAAGTGACTCCCAAGAGTCGCTTCATTCATTCATTCAGCAAATATTTTTCCAGCGTCTATTTAGTGATCAGAGACTAGGAAAGTGTCAGAACACCCACCACCCACTGACCCAAGAAGTGTCTCTGTAGGAGGGAGGGGTATGGGTATGGAGAGTGTCCCCGACCCCTTGGGCCCTCACAGTCGTCCCTTCCTGACTGGCAGGTGATGGATCTCGGCCGCGACGCCACCCGCCGCTTCTTCAACTGGTTTTACTGGAGCATCAACCTGGGTGCTGTGCTGTCACTGCTGGTGGTGGCTTTTATTCAGCAGAACATCAGTTTCCTGCTGGGCTACAGCATCCCCGTGGGCTGTGTGGGCCTGGCATTTTTCATCTTCCTCTTTGCCACCCCCATCTTCATCACCAAGCCCCCCATGGGCAGCCAAGTGTCCTCCATGCTTAAGCTCGCTCTCCAAAACTGCTGTCCCCGGCTGCGGCAACGACACTTGGCCAGGTAAGGAGGGACTCTGGGTGCAGGGAGCCTCCAAGCCTGGAGGAGTGCTGGACTACTCCTGGGGAGGCATGGCCCAGGTGCCAGATGTTCTGGTTCAGCTACAGTGATAGGTTTTTATGATGATCTGCTCCCCAGTGGGCTAGAACTGTCCATTGTGACTGAGGATGAAGGTCAAGGTTGTGGTGCCAGTGGTGGTATTATTGGAGGCCATCTACATATAGAATGTGTGAAAATGGGGCTGGGCACAGTGGCTATGCCTCTAATTCCAGCACTTTGGAAAGCCAAGGCTGGTGGCTACCTTGATTCCAGGAGTTTGAGACCAGCCTGGGCAACATAGCAAAACCCCATTTCTACAAACAAAACAAAACAAAACAAAAATTAGTTGGGCGCAGTGGCTCACACCTGTAATCCCAGCACTTTGGGAGGCCAAGGCGGGAGGATCACCTGAGGTCAGGAGTTCAAGACCAGCCTGACCAACATGGAGAAACCACGTCTCTACTAAAAATACAAAATTAGTCGGGCATGGTGGCACATGCCTATAAACACAGCTATTCAGGAGATGGAGGCAGGAGAATCGCTTGAACCTAGGAGGCAGAGGCTGTGGTGATCTGAGATTGTGCCATTGCACTCCAGCCTGGGCAATAAGAGCAAAACACCATCTCAAAAAAACAAAAATTAATGGCGTGTGATGGCATGTGCCTGTGGTCCCAGCTACTGGGGAGGCTGACATAGAAGGATCAGTCGAGTCCAGGAGGTTGAGGCTGGAGTGAGCTATGATGGTGCCACTACACTCCGGCCTGGGTGACAGAGCAGAAATAAAAGAAAAACTGTGAGTATGATCATGGTCTCAACAGTGCTGATGGTAACAAGGATGAGGATGACGGCGTTGGTATCTACATTAAAGGCACAAACATTGGCCATGGGGGTGACAGTGGCATTAAAGGAGGGGCTGATGGGGATGATGGTTCCGGTGAAGGTCGTTGGGATATAATATGAATAATTCCACATTACCCTGTTACTACCTATCACAGCGTCTTAGGAAATCGGCCAGACTTGCTCCCCCATTAGCTGACATCCAAGGGAGGAAAGTTCTGAGTGACTTCCTTTTGCCCCTCACCTTCCTAAATTAATTGTCTGTTTATGCTAAGCAAATCTGCCTCCAGACCTTGCAGCCAGTTACAGCTCCTGTTAGTAGGATCTAGATGAAAAAGGTGAAGAAAATGCTTTCCACAATCTGGCACGTTATTGCTTGAGGTTTGTAAGTATAGTTGTTGGGAGCAAAGAAGTGTGGTGGTTTTAATGATCTGTCACTGCCTAACAAACCACACCAGAGCTTAGTGACTTCAATGACCTTTTTACCTCCTCTCCCAGTTCTGTGAGTGACTGGGCCCAGTCTGGCAGTTCTGGTCCTCATGACGGCACTGGGGATGCAGTCATCTGGGACGTGGAAAGGGCTGGAACATCTGAGCCCACTCACACGGCTGCCGGTCAATGTGGGCTGTTGGCTGAGAGCTCAGCTTTGGCTGTTGGCCAGAGTACCTTGGTTCCCCTTCATGTGGTCTTACCATGTGGCTCGAGTTTCTCACATCACCTTGTGAGGGCTGCAAGAGGAGGGAGCATTCCAAGAATGAATGTTCGGTGGCGGAAGAAAGCAGAAGTTATGGGTCTTCTTAAGGCCCTTAAGAGGCACTGAAGTCCCAGACCACCACTTCTGCTTCTTTCTAAGAGGTCAAAACCGCCGCAAAGCCAGCAGGGAAACAACGGCAGGGAAAATAAACTCCACCTGTTGGTGGCAGAATGGCAGCACGCGCTGAAAAGGGTGGAGTTGACGGTGTCTGTCTTTAGAGATGACCACACAAGTATTATCCCTTTTGGAGTCTCAAAGGACAATGCAAGGCTCTTGGACAAAAGGAGGTCAGAAAGCTCCCAGGACAAAGGGCAAAGGGTGGAGGTTGCAGCAGGGATTGATCAATCCTGTCGCCTGCCGATGTCCCCTCTACCCCTACTGCTCCTCTCTCTAGCCCTTGTCATAGAGGTAGAGGGTTGTCACGTCGACTGTTGAGGTGGATGGACTTGGGACAGCAAGGGGGGGAAATTTTGGTGCATCCAGTCTGTGACACCGTCTCTCTCTGAGTCAGGCTTGGACTGGGACTCCCCTGGTTCCCATAGCAAGTTGATGCTATGAGCCAAAAAATCCCTTCTGACTCCTTTTGCCACGGTCTCTGGTCTTACCTCCCTCAGGACCCAGAGGGGCCACAAATCTAGAGTGGGATGAGTCTTGGCGAGGCACCTTTGCAACAAAAGAGAGGATAGGATAATATTGGCAGTGGCAGTGCCAACATTGAAAAAGAGTGATGGTGATGGGAATGGAGACTCCGTGGAGAGGATGGCTTTGCTGACAGCAGTCACCTTACTAAAGGTGATGACAGTAAGGATGCTGGCTTTGGCAATGGTGGTGATGATGGTGAAGTGGTGCTAACAGCAGGGCAGAGAGGAGGAGGGCACTGATTTCAGAGACGTCCTAATACTGGAAGGAGGATTCAGTTAGGGGACGATGATGGAAGTGAAGACGTGGCTGAGGTGGTGGGGAAGATTATGGCTGCTGTTTCTGTTTGTTTGTTTGTTTGTTTTTTGAGATGGAGTCTCGCTCTGTTGCCCAGGCTGGAGTGTAGTGGTGTGATCTTGGCTCACTGCAACCTCCATCTCCCGAGTTCAAGCAATTCTCCTGTCTTAGCCCCCTGAGTAGCTGGAATTACAGGCGCTGCCACCACGCCCGGCTAATTTTTGTATTTTTAGTAGAGACAGGGCTTCACCATATTGGCCAGGCTGGTCTCAAATTCCTGACCTCAGGCGATCCACCCGCCTCAGCCTCCCAAAGTGCTAGGATTACAGGCGTGAGCCACCGCACCCAGCCTTGGCTGCTGTTTTATCTACTACCCTGGGGTCCCACAGAGACCCTCAAGGTGCCCGACTATGGCCTGACCAGAGGTCTCCCCAGCCTGGACCTTCCCCGCAAGAGGACATCGCCAACTTCCAGGTCCTGCTGAAGATCTTGCCCGTCATGGTGACCCTGGTGCCTTACTGGATGGTCTACTTCCAGGTGAGCAGCCCTGCCCTTTTTCTCTGGGGGCCTGGCTCCCCCGTCACCACCTAGATGGCCTCAGTTCTCATCACAGAGGCGCAGGGCATGTGGAAAGGGGGAAAGCCGGGGAATAAAGCAAGTTGCTGCCCTGTACCAGCTAGCATAGGGCCTGGCGCAGAGCCATCTCAGCAATCCAGTTCCCTCGGGTGGCACAGTAAGAGGAACCCTGGAGACGCCTTCCTCCTCTATGCCACCTGCGGGAGTTGAAGTACTCGGATGGCTTTGTGCCAGGCTAGGTCCTTGAATAACTTACTGCATCTCTCTGGGCCTGTTTCCTCATGTGTGCAACAGGTGGCTTAAACGAGAGGCTTTTCCAGCTCTGCCGCATTCAGATCATCTGGCTTGGTACCTGAGGCCCAGAGAGGGTGTGTTGGTTGCCCGAGGCCCCACGGCAGGCAGGTCAGGGCAAGCTCTGTGTGTGGAGTACTTTCCAGCAGTGGTTCCGCAAACTGGCTATGCTTCAGAATCACCTGCAGAGCTTTTAAAAACATGCTCTCTGTTTTAAAAACGGATTCCAAGTCCAACCTCAGGCTACTGAATCAGAATTGCTGGGGAAGTCTCTAGTTTAAGAAGACTAGACACTGTGTCAGGCTGGGCGCGGTGGCTCATGCCTGTAATCCCAGCACTTTGGGAGCCCGAGGCAGGTGGATCACCTGAGGTCGGGAGTCCAAGACCAGCCTGACCAACATGGAGAAGCCTCATCTCTACTAAAAATACAAAAAATTAGCTGGGCATGGTGGCGCATGCCTGTAATCCAAGCTACTCGGGAGGCTGAGGCGGGAGAATCACTTGAACCTGGGAGGCAGTGTGTAGTGAGCCGAGATCCGTGTCATTGCACTCCAACCTGGGCAACAAGAGTGAAACTGTCTCAAAAAAAAAAAAAAAAAGGAAAAGAAAAACAAAGAAACTTTTCAAATGATACTGATACTCAGGGTTAAGAACTATTGCCTCCCACTCATCATATTACGCCCCAGTGGGGAGGTTAGTGGTGTGTGTGTGTGTGTGTGTGTGTGTGTGTGTGTGTGTGTGTGAGATTGTTAGGAGGGTGGGCAGCAGCTTAATGCTAGCCCCCAGGTCATAAGGTCATTGCCGTCCATACCACCTTCATAGGAACATTTGTTGGCACTCCCAGCCTGCTACTTAGGGGTGCACAGAGTATGCTTATGATGAGTCAGGGACGTGTGGTTGGGGGTGGTATCCATGGCTGATTCTCAGTCATTCCAGTCAGATACTGACCTCCTTCCATACCAGTTGGCAAATAAATGGCTGCTGCCCAGAGCAGCCCATATGCCCTCTCCTGCCCCCGCCCTTCTTGTGGGAGTCTCCTGAATCCCACTCCATTTATATGGCAACTAAACGGGCAATGCTTGGTACGGGAGGTGGCCCCTGGGCCCTGCTCCTGCAGCCGTGTCCAGAGCCACTCTGGCAAGTCCGTGTCTATGCAGTTCTTGTGTCAACCTGTGGGACTCAGCTTGGCTCCAGTGTCAGATGAGAACTCCCTGTGCGGGCAGCCATTATCTTTCCCGTTGCCACAAATATTTATCCATGCTTACTCTCTGCCGGGCCCTGGGGACCCAAATACGAATCAGACCAGCTGTGCCTGGGCTCTGGGATAAGGCTGCGCTTTGCTCACAGGCCTGAGAGCAGGGCACAGAATGCTCCCTGCCCAGCCCAGCTACCTCGGAGAAATGAGGGTGGAAAGGTGACTTTTTCCCTGAGACTGGGAGAGGGGACAGCTGTCCAGCTGCCCTGTGCTATTGCTGAGGAATGCCACCTGGGAGCTGGGAGGGGCACAGTCGGTTCTGCTCTAGCCTCACCCCTGTCTCTCTTGGCAGATGCAGTCCACCTACGTCCTGCAGGGTCTTCACCTCCACATCCCAAACATTTTCCCGGCCAACCCAGCCAACATCTCCACGGCCCTGAGAGCCCAGGGCGGCAACTACACGGTGAGAGATAAAGCATGTGTTCAGCACCCAGTTCAGCCCAGGTAGCGGCTTCCTCTGAGAAGAGGAGGATGAAACTACCATCACACTCTTCTTTCCTGGCTGCAAGGCAACCTCAGTATACAGGAAAAGCACCTGGAGGACGGTGGACTTGTGCCACGGCACAGGCATCCTGCCAAGATGCTCATTGCTCGAAAGAATTCAGGCCAGCTGCACACCCCCATGCTGCTGCTCTGAAGCAGGCCTCTTGGCCTGATTTTCACCCTAAGATCAAGCACACTCAGGCCCCTTTTCAGCTCTTCCTTGTCCCCTCTTTCCCTGGGACTCTTAGATACCTAGATCTCTGCCTTTCCCAGAACTTTCTAAACCAGTTCCTTGGCATGTCAGAGACTCATGAAATGAATGATCTTCAGAGCTGGCAGATAAATGAGAAATCTGCAATCGTACTCCATTTCCTTGCCCATGGCAGACATCACTAGTCAATCATGACTTTTTTTTTATGCTGAGCACATGAATGTTCCACAATCCACCACTACCAATTGATAAAAGTTAGAATACAAGAGGAACCTATTTGCCATCTCTTTATAATCCCACTCCCTGGTTACACAGCTGAGGAGCCTGAGTTCCGGAGAGAGGGTCACCTCGGGCCAGTCTAGAGTCCAGATCTCCCGACTGCAGCGGGCTCCTTCCACTCTGCTAGCCTGCCTCTCGTGACTTCTTCCTGCCCAGATCCCAGAAGCCTGGCTCCTCCTGGCCAACGTCGTGGTGGTGCTGATTCTGGTCCCCCTGAAGGACCACTTGATCGACCGTCTACTGCTGCGGTGCAAGCTGCTACCCTCTGCTCTGCAGAAGATGGCGCTGGGGATGTTCTTTGGTTTCGCCTCCGTCATTGTGGCAGGTGTGTGGAGGGGTGTGGGGCAGGGGGCTGGACTTGGTCTGGGCTTGCGGGGGCTGGCGCCACCGCGGGCTGGTGCTGAAGTGGTAGCCTAGGCAAGATCAGCCTCTCCCAGTGGGCGTCAGTGTTGGCTTCCCAGAAATGCAGGCTGAAAGAGACCCTCCTAACTAATCCAGCCTCCCCTCATTTTGACAGAAGAGGAAACTCAGGCCAAGAGAGGAACAGATATTTTCCCCAGTGAATTACACGCTCCTTGAAGGCAGAGACTTTTTTTTCTTTTTCACTACTGTGAATCATGCATGAGAGCCCTCAATAAAAGTGTTGAATGAATTTTGCACTTAGTGGCAAATGAAGACTTAAAAAAAAATCCTCTTTCTTCCTCCATTTCAAAAGGATCTGAAGCCATTTGCTGCAAAGTGGGGGGGTGAGTGGGGGGTGTTCAGCTAAAGAAGTCTTTCACCCTTTTGCACAAACCTGAACCCTTTTTACTTAATAGCTTTATGACCCTGAAGTTACTCAGTCTCTGAGCTGCATCTTTAAAATGGGGATAGGTCTTTGGGAGGCTGAGGCGGGCAGATAGCTTGAGGTCAGGAGTTCAAGACCAGCTTCGCCAACATAGTGAAACCCCACCTCTATTAAAAATACAAAAATTAGATGGGTGCAGTGGCATGCGCCTGTAATCCCAGGCTACTCGGGAGGCTGAGGCAGGAGAATCACTTGAACCCGGGAGGCAGAGGTTGCAGTGAGCCGAGGATTGTGCCGCTGCACTGCAGCCTCGGTGGCAGAGTGAGACTCCATGGGGATAGGTGTCATTCAGACCCTGAGCAGGGCTCTGCTCTCATGGAACTCAGCCTGATGGGGGTGTTGTGAGGATTTAAAGGAGATGAAGTCTGCAAAGCACTCAGCTGCGCGCCTGGATCACAAGTATGAGCTGGAGAAATGAAACCTCCATAAACGATATTGTATTGAAAGTGTGAAAAGCAAACTAGATTTTTTCCCCAGCTATATCCTTTGTCCTATTTTATCCTCACAATAATTCTGGGAATGTTATTCCTGCTTTTTGCATAAGGGAACTGAGTTCAGAGAGGTTAAGTAATTTGCCCAAAGTCACACAGCTATCCAGGCTAGGAACCCAAGGCCTCTAACTCTGTGTTTATTATTCATTCCACTAGAGCACAGCTATCTCCCAAGCAATGCAGGAGAAGGAGATAACATAGTTAAACTTGAAAACCAGGTTAGAAATGCTACAGAAATACTTGACGTTGCAGTAGAGAAGTCATGTGATATGATGGAAAGTAGGTCAGCTTTGAAACCAGACATACCAGGGCTCAATCCAGCCCTGACTACTTACGGCTGTGCGACTGTGGGCTCGTTTCTTAATCTGTTTCACTTTCTTTACCAGGAGGGACGCATACCAAATGCCTAGCTCATAACAGGTTCTCCGTTAATGAGAGTTGTTACCGTTATAGAATGCAAAACTCAGCTCTGAGCTTCCTAGCAGCCAAGACAAAAAGGGAGAAGTTGGTCAAATCTTGGCCCCTCCTCTACCCACACCCCCCTCCCAGTCCAGTATTCTTTACCTTACCTGCTGCTTCTCAGTCAATCTTTGGCTACTTAACCTCCCCAAGACTATGTACAAGCTCTGCTGTGGGCTAAGCTGCCTGGGGTGGGCCTGACTGTAATACCCCTCTGCTCCTCCACCAGGAGTCCTGGAGATGGAGCGCTTACACTACATCCACCACAACGAGACAGTGTCCCAGCAGATTGGGGAGGTCCTGTACAACGCGGCACCACTGTCCGTCTGGTGGCAGATCCCTCAGTACCTGCTCATTGGGGTCAGCGAGATTTTTGCCAGCATCCCAGGTACCCCGGATACCCTCCCCTGCTCCTGCACCAATGAGGGGCTCTGCCTGCTGGCACCTCCAAGTCTTGGGCTACAGGGGTGCAGCCTCCATGGAGGAAGCATGGGGGAAGGTGGTGTTTTCCAACCAGGATGGCATTCACCCAATGGGGATCTGTTATTGGCACCTGCTTCAAGTCAGCCAGTATGACAGACACTGGGATTGGGAGGCGAGCAAGGCACTTCCCACACCAGCTTTCCACACGGTCCCCTAGGGCCGGGCTTTCCACACTCTGTGTCTTTGAAGTTGCTGTCGCCTCTACCTTAGATTGAAGGTGAACTCGTATTTCCCCTTCAGTTCTGAGCCTAAATACCAAGGTCCTTGGGCAGAAAGTGTCCTCCCTTCCCACCCCGTGTTCATCTCTCTATCATAGCACACAGTACTCTGGGGCATAATGAGGCATTTCTTTTTTGTTCTTTTTAGACGGAGTCTTGCTCTCTCGCCAGGCTGGAGTGCAGTAGTGTGATCTCGGCTTACTGCAATCTCCACCTCCCGGGTTCAAGTGATTCCCCTGCCTCAGCCTTCTGAGCAGCTGGGACTACAGGCTTGTGCCACCACGCCCAGCTGGGTTTTTTTGTATTTTAGTAAAGATGTGGTTTCAGCATGTTGGCCAGGATGGTCTCGATCTCCTGACCTCATGATCTGCCCGCCTTAGCCCCCCAAAGTGCTGGGATTATAGGCGTGAGCCATCCTGCCTGGCCTTAATAATGCATTTCTATGTCCTCCCCTCCCCACCCTCCCAACCCCCTTCCTCGGGCTGGGAACTAGAGCTGCAAGGCTGGGCAGACCCTTCAGTCAGCAAAGGAGCAAGGGCGTCCTCAGCTGCAGGCCCAGGGCTAGGCTGGGTCAGACATAAAGAGAAAACTGACCCTGGGCGCTTACTCAGATGGTGGGGAGAGAGTCGTGCAAATAGTGAACCAGTGGAGTGCTGCCGAAGTCAGGGCAGAGTGCGGTGGGTGCCCTGAAGCATGGAGGGAGGCGGGCAGGCGAGCAGGTAGGAGGAGGGGTCTTACAGGCAGAGGGAACAGCATAAATAAGCAAAGATCCAAGCCCTTGGGAAGCGTGGAGGATAGGGCTTGAGAGGCCTGGGAGGTGTAGGGAGTGGAGGTCTCCAAGAGCTTTGTGGGCTGAGCCCCGCACTTCGGAATCTCTCCTGAAGGCAACAGCACCCCATGCTTCCACGGGGTTTTGGCCCCGAAAGGACCCCATCAGAGAGGCTTTAGACAGATGATCCTGGCTGTGTGAGGAGGTCAGAAGTCAGGGGAGTTCAAAAAGCATTTGCAGGGCCAGGTGTGGTGGCTCACGCCTGCAATCCCAGCACTTTGGGAGGTCGAGGCGGGAGGATCACAAGGTCAGGAGTTCAAGACCATCCTGGCCAACACAGTGAAACCCCGTCTCTGCTAAAATACAAAAAAAAAAAAAAAAATAGCCAGGCGTGGTGGTGCCTGCCTGTAATCCCAGCTACTCGGGAGGTGAGGCAAGGGAATCATTTGAACCCAGGAGGCGGAGGTTGCAATGAACCGAGATTGCACCACTGTACTCCAGCCTGGTAACAGAGCAAGACTCCATCTCAAAAAAAAAAAAAAAAAAAAAAAAAAAAAAAAAAAAAATTGCGGGAAATGACCAGGGCTGGGGGGTTGGACCTCCAGGGCAGAGGGAACAGAGAGAAGGACATACACTTAGAATCAATTTAGAATAGATTTCAGAGGTTGTATCAAAATGATTTGATGATGTCGAAGGTGGGCAGAGAGGGAGGGGAGAGAGAGGAGGTAAAGATGGTGTTGTCACTGAAAGGAGAGACCCAGCAGGAAGAGGAGGAGGGGAGACAGAGCTAGTGGAGCACCCAGGTATGGGGGGTCAGCCAGGAGCCAGGTAAGCAGGGCAGAGGGGAAGCCGGCATTGACACTTAGGTGCTGTCATTGCCACTGAGTGGACAGGCATCCAGAGGAAGCCTGGAGGGTGGCTTGGTGGGGGGAGAGTCGGGGGCAGCAGGTAGGGGCCCAGGCCTGTTCTTTGCGCCTGCACCAGCCCCTGAGATCCTCTCTGCTCCCTCTCTGCAGGCCTGGAGTTTGCCTACTCAGAGGCCCCGCGCTCCATGCAGGGCGCCATCATGGGCATCTTCTTCTGCCTATCGGGAGTGGGTTCACTGTTGGGCTCCAGCCTAGTGGCACTGCTGTCCTTGCCCGGGGGCTGGCTGCACTGCCCCAAGGACTTCGGTGAGTAGGGGAGCCTCCCCAGGAATGGGACATGGGTGGAGGGAGGCGTGGAGAGAAGGTGGCAGCTGCTAAGTGTTTTGACTCTGGGCAGAATCAAGCAGAGGGCTAGCCTTGGGAGAATGGGGTTCTAGCCCCGGCTTGGCCAGTCACCCACAGTGCAGCCTCCCTCCTTGGGCCTTTGTTTCCCCAACTGTTGAACTGAGTGGACCTCCAAGGCTCCTTCCAGCTTCTGGAACTCTGCCATTTCTGGCTGGAGGGTCACCTTTCTCATGGTATTTGTATTTCACACCCTCCTCTGAATAGCTAAAGAGGAATTGCAGGCACCCCTGGAGAACTTCAGGAAGTCAGGGATTAGCGGTTATCTGTCCAGTGTGGGGACACTGGCAGGGACAGTGCAGGACAGAGGATCCCCATCCCCGTCCTGACTCAAATCCAACTCCTCCTTTCCCCAGGGAATATCAACAATTGCCGGATGGACCTCTACTTTTTCCTGCTGGCTGGCATTCAGGCCGTCACGGCCCTCCTATTTATCTGGATTGCTGGACGCTACGAGAGGGCGACCCAGGGCCCAGCCTCCCACAGCGGTTTCAGCCGGGACAGGGGCTGAACATGCCCCATTCCAGCCCCCTCCCTTCACTCCACCAGACAGAAGCAGACCCAGCTGTGGCTTCCATCTGGGTTTATTCTGTACCCAACATTGGAATGAAATGATTCCCATAAATAAGGGGCAGAGCCCTTCCTCACAACCATGGTCCATGACAAGGGGCAGGGCAGAGGAGGCCTGGGTGGGAGTCCTTGCGGGGCACCAGGCAGGGGACTTGGATCAAGTGCCAGAGGATGAGCAGGGGGCCAGGCGAGACGCTCGGTGGGACCTCCACCCTCGCTGCCCCAGCTGGTGCTGACCAGGTGGCTGCAGAGGGTCAGGAGCTGCCCCGGATCCTCTCCATGTAGTTGCGAAGCTCCTCTGGGTCCTTCAGCCCCATGTCCTCACACACCCAGCGGATGTCCTCCTCACCCGCCACCAGGATGGACTGCACAGCAGGGGCCCCTGTGGGCTCCTCAGGTGGCTGGGCTGGAGGGGCAGGCGCGAACGTCACGAACTCTACCCGCTTCCGCCGTCCCCCAGCCTCCTTTCGGGCCAGGGTGCTCAAGGAGCCAGTGGTGCCCCCAGGAGGGCCCGGGGCCAGGGTCGGGGCCTCCCCTCCTCCCCCACTCTCACAGGGGCAGCCTCCCTCCGCCTTGGGTGGGACAGAGGACCGCCGGTCCAGCTGGCGGCTCAGTTCCTCCTGGTCAGTGCCCAGCCAGACCCAGTTGTGGGGTTGGGGGGAGGTGGGGCCAGTGGCGCTGTCAGGAGGTTCTTTGCGCTGATAGCGCAGGACGAATACCACACCATTGACCAAGAAGATGAAGATGGCCACACAGAAGATTCCCAGCAGGGCGTACATGCCCAGCTCTAGGTCGGTGACACGCTGAGGGGCGGGGACCATCTCCTCCTCTTCCTCCTCCTCCTCCTCCCCGGCTTCAGTCTCCTCCTTCCTGGCCTCCTCCTCTGCCTGATCAAACTTGCCCCTCACGCCCATGCTGCCCCCGACACTGCCTGCCACCTGCCGTTCACCGCCCACGGTGGCTTCTGTGGCTGGGGGGCTCCAAGCAGGGCTGGATGGGAGGGCAGGGGCCGGTGTGGAGGCAGGGGGCAGCCCCAGCCAGGCAGTGCCAGAGGCCAGAGGCACACGGTGGCGGCCCCGGCGGCAGGACTCGGGCGGGTGCAGAGCCACATGCAGCGGCAGCCCCTCAGCGCCTGCCCCACTCACCACCACCCCAAGCTGAGCGCCCTGCTCCTCCGCTGGCAGGACGGCAGCGGGTTCCTCGGCTGAGACAGACAGTCCCAGGTCACGGCGGTCGTAGAGCTCAGCCGGGGCCAGAGTGTGATCAGAGAAGGACAGCCACAGGGAGAGGGCCACCTCCTGTGGGGCACACAGACACAGGCAGAGACACGCGAGGGCACGCACGCATGCACAGAGAAACCACTCCCACAGAGACAGGCCACACGGAGGAGAGACCAGAGAGAAACATACAGGCAGATGGACACAACACAGGGAGAGAGGGGACGCGTGTCAATCACCTGTCTGCCACCCAACCCCAGGGTCTGAGTTACTGGGAGGGTCCTCAGAGCCATCTAACCAACCTCCCACTGCCTTACTCCAGCCTCTGCTTGATCACCTCCAGCTGCAGAGAGCTCACTACCTCACAGGGAAGTCAGTCCTCACTCTGAAAACCCTAAGGTAAGGGGTGGAGGTGCCAGGGTCCCCTTCCTCCCATCCCCCTCTACCACAGCCCCCATCTGGAGATGCTGACCTCATTCCACCGACCCCCCAGCTGTCACCTGCTTTGGGGCGGGATGGGCTGACTGCGCCCAGCACGTGGCTGTAACCTCCCCGGGGTGGGTCGTGCCCCGGCTCAAGGTCAGCGAGATGCCCATCACCGGCTGCACCCGCAACTCCAGCACCGAGACCTTGTCGTCCGTCACGGCCAGCGCCTGCTCCCCCAGGATGGAGTCTGACAGTGGGGAACGGACCTGAGGGTGGGAAGGGGCCAGAAGTGGGGGGGCCTTCCACACAGATAGCCCCCACCCAGAGGGAACCAGTGCTCCCAATACCCTCACAGGCTGCTCTCTGGAGGTGGGGGGGGCCTTCCGCACAGGTAGCCCCCACCCAGAGGGAACCAGGTGCTCCCAGCACCCGCACAGGCTTCTCTCCCTCCACTCTTTGCACCTTAATGCATACCTGGACCCCAATCGCACATCTAGGGGACAGTTCCCATTTCCCTCAAGATCTGGTCTCCACATTACCCACACCTCAGCCCTTCATAGCTAGAGGGCTCCCCCCTTATGTGGCCACCCCATTCAGAGCCCATCCCCAATCCCACTGCACTCAGCCTAGACCATGCACCCCCACACACGCCCTGAGCTCTCCACACTCTTCACTCCCGCTTGTGAACATTCTGGGGGCCCCTACACCCCTCTTAGGGGGTCCGCTCTCCTGGTGGCTGGCTGCTTACCTCAATGGAGGTGACCCCGGGCTCCCGGCCCACAAGGACACGGCCGCCCTCCAGTGAGGCTACACGCGGGTCCAGCACGTGGGCATGCGGCGCCACGAGGTGGGACACATCCAGCAGCCAGTCTGAGCCGAGCAGGTGCGTGAGGCGGCGGCTGCCGTCCAGTGGGTGGGCCGCAAAGGGGGCGAGGAAGCGCACGCCGGCGCGCTGGTACTGCAAGTGGCAGCCTCGGGCGCGCCGCTCGGCCTCATCTGCCGCCTCTGAAGCAGGTTCCACAGGCCTGCAGGGTGGAAGAGGCGGGGGGGACAGGGACAGGACATCAGCGCTGCGCAGCTCCAGCTTGCCCTGGGCCCAGCTGCTGGAGACCCCCAGCTCCTCCCCGGAGGCTCCTAATCACCAGCGGCTCCTGTTTCTCAAACGCAGACATCTGCCCCTCCTGGGGTCAGGCCCTTCCACCTGCAGGTGAGCCGCCCCAGTCCACTCCCGACTGGCGATGTTCCTTGATCCAGACCACACCACTCTTGCTCCCAAAGGGACACCAGGGGAGATACTCTCTTATGGGGACCCTGGGCACGCTTACTGTCTGGAGGGCCTGGAAGCTAGATTCCAGAGGCCTGGGCTGCCTTGCCTGGGTTCTGGGGAGCCCTCTCCAAGGATGTTCACTTCCTGAGCTCTGTGCCATCTTAGGCTCTGAGAGTATAGCAGTGACCAGCATAGACAGACCCTGCCTTCAAGGGGCTTACATTCTCAGGGGAGGAGTGTGGAAAGGATGGAGATTAGGAAGTAGAGGGTGCTGGGGAGAAGTGAGGCAGGGAAGGAGGAGAGGGACGCAGAGGTCAGCAATTTCACAGAAAGTGGTCACTGGTTGGGTGGTCCAGGGTGGAGTTGGGCAGAAGGGACTGCAAGCAACAGGGCAGTTTTCAGACCCCGGCTTGGGCCCACGGCTGTGTCCCCTGCACCCTCTCCGTCCCAGTGTGACTCGCCAAGGCCTGCCAGCTTCCTCAGGCCTCCACTCACCCTTCGGCAGGGCCAGGTACCCTCCAGCCGCGGACCTGCTCGAGGGTGGCGTCGGTGAGCTCGATGTGCAGCGGTAGCAGTGGGGCCCACACGGTCAGCCGCAGCGAGGCCCGGAGCCGGCGCCACCAGAAGTCCACCCGCACCCCCCGGGCGCCCCAGCTCTCCTTGCCAGCCACGAACACGGCATCACAGCCCTCAGACACCTGTGGGGGAGCAGAAGGCAGGCAGGCGGGCTAAGCCACTAAAGACAGGTGTGAGGCTGAGCCTGTGGGTGGCTCACACCTGTAGTCCCAGCACTCTGAGAGGCCGAGGTGGATGGATCCATTGAGTCCAGGAGTTTGAGACCAGCCTGGGCAACATGGCCAAAACCACTTTCTACAAAATATACAGTAAATCAGCCAGACGCGGTGGCTCACGCCTGTAATCCCAGCATTTTGGGAGGCCTAGGTGGGCGGATCACCTGAGGTCAGAAGTTCAAGATCAGCCTGATCAACATGGTGAAACCCCATCTCAACTAAAAATACAAAATTAGCCGGGTGAGGTGGCACATGCCTGTAATCCCAGCTACTTGGGAGGCTGAGGCAGGAGAATCACTTGAACCCAGGTGGCGAAGGTCACAGTGAGCCAAAATCATGCCATTGCACTTCAGTCTGGGCAACAGAGTGAGACCTCATGTCAAAAAAGAAAAAAAAAATTACAATAAAACAGCCAGGTATGGTGGCATGTGCCTGCAGTCCCAGCTACTGGGGAGGCTGAGGTGGGAGGATCTCTTGAGCCCGGGAAGCTGTGACTGCAGTGAGCTGGACTGCACCATTGGACTCCAGCCTGGGGACAGAGTAAGACTCTGTCTCAAAATAAATAAATAGATTTTAAAAAGGAAAGAAAAGAAAAGAAAGAAAGAGAGAGAGAAAGAAAGGAAGGAAGGAAAGAAAAAGAGACAGGCATGGGCCAGAAGAGAGCAGCCCTGACCTCAGGCCATAGGCCGGGCTCCCACTGCGTTCAGCTCTGTGTTTCACTGGAATACATGTTGCCGCAGGACTGCTGGGGAAGCCACTGTTCTTTATTTAAGATTTTACTGTAGGGGCCATTCTTTGAGTTCCCCTGGGGCTCAGTCAGGGAAACTGGTCATTGCATACCTGTCTTCCCCCGGCAGAGCAGGGGTGTGAAGCCATAACTCTGGCTCCTGATTCGTGCTGGCCTTTGACACTGCTCCTGGAGCCACCTGGCAACAGCTACAGCCAAGAAGGCAGAGGTGGGCAAGGCCGATCTCCCCACCGAGGGCCCTCCAGCAGGAACCACACGCATTTGAGCAAAGGGCGCCACAAGCGGGGAAAGGCACTTCCTCCATTCAGGTGGCTGGGATTTGCAAACACGCAGGCTCCATGCTTCCCCTCCAGAACTTCAAGAGAAAATTGCCCTACTCCTGTTTTTTTGGCTTCACAATCTCAAATAATAATAATAAATTTTACCATTATATAATTATTACATCATATTACAATAGCAGTAGCTGATGTCGTTTCAGCTCCTGCTATCTGCCGAATACTGTCTTAAGGTGCTTTTAATTCTTTTTTTGTTTTGTTTTGATATGTTGGTTCACTCTTGTTGCCCAGGCTGGAGTGCAATGGTGCGATCTCGGTTCACTGCAACATCCGCCTCCCAGGTTCAAGCAATTCTC